TATATATATATATATATATTACAATTATTTCCCTCCTCTCACACTCACAATTTCAAAAGGCAGAAAGGGGAATTGGCTCAGGTAGCACGGGACATGGGTGGAAGGTGTTTCACGTGAGGGAATCATGATGGAAGCGGCCTTGTGAGGTATTGTTCATTAGTGAGGGAGGCTTGTTCGCACAAAGTGGAACAGCCTAGTGTCATTCGAGCGAGAGCTCGCGCACGAAGCCGAGTTCGGCAAGCTGTGCGGTTTCACGTGTGGAGGCTCTATCGAAGGGATTGGTGGGTTGTTCGCGTATGAAGAACCCTATGCAGGAAATTCGGACTGTGCAGCTTCGTTCGAGAAGTGCTATAAACGGAGCAGAGATCGGATTTAGGAGGCGCCGTGAACAATAGCCGGTATCGGTTTCGAGAGGCACGGTGAATAAGAGCAATCAGGATTCCGATCAAAATTGAGTGTAAGTACTTATTTTTCATTTTTTTAATATTTTATATTAGTGGTTCCTCAACGACATGTTGTTCATTTTCGACATGTTCATTTTCAACGACGTTCCAACGTGCTCTTTTTTCTTTTTCTTTTTTTTTTTTTGTTTAATTTGATTTTAACATGAACATCCAATACCTTCTTCACCATCTCCTCTAGGTTGGAGAACTTATCCTCCATGTAGGAAATTCTGTCATCCACCATTGCTTTGATTTGGCTCATCTCTCCTCCAAGACATTCTTCCAAGGCATTAACCTTCTTGGCCGCCATAGGTACGTAGATCTTGGCCAAACTGCAAAAAACAATAATTCTACTCTTCAATAGAAAAAATCTGCACTTTGGAGGGGAAAACTCCATAGAAATCAGCAAGGAAAAGCCTCAATTTCTGCCTAGGACACCGCTCCGGTACCAATTTGATAATAAGTGCTTAAAGTGATCGACTAATTCTTGGCTTTTTATTGATGATAGATGGAATAAAACAACAAGATACAATGAATCCTCAATTGGAGAGGAGGATCCAGCTCTCCCAATTCCCTAGTTGTCAGGCAAAGCACACAACACCCTAAGAACACTAGAATTTCAACAAATAAAGCATATCCCTAACCCTAGGAAAATGACGACTTACATAAAGTATACAATAAATATTTAAATCCCAAAACAACCCCCCAGAATTTTCCCTCCTAAACAAGCCTTAATTTCCTTCAACAGATAGCTATTGGACCCAACAGAAGAGGAGGGTGGGAGTTGTTGGGCAGAACAGGTGTTCCGCCTCTTATATACCATGGCCGATCCAGGATGGACCAGCTAGACAGGTCTAACATATACTTGATTGTTTATTCATCTTTTTTTTTAAAGGTGCCTAGAAAATAATTTAAATTTATACAATTTCTAAGAAGCAATTACATCAATTTAAAGTTTAAAAAATCGTGTTTTAAGCATGCTAGCAATCGTAACCATGTGCCTTCCAATTTTTCGATACAGGATCAATACATGGCACCCATCTTTCCTTGTTCGGCATACAAATCTGTGACCCCTGCAACCATTCAATTCCACTAGTTAGGGAACAATCTTTGGCCTTCCTCCTTTCTAGTTTATCACATGAATCCGTAGATCACTGCCATCCTTGTTTGCTTATGAATCCATGACCTATTACCTTGCTTATTTAACTACTCATAACTACTGATTCTAGGTAATTTAAACATTACTAGAAAGCTATAATATCAAGTTGGACATACTAGAGAGCTATCATATCATGTTGGACACTATGTCAAACATTTTCACAATAAAACATTTTATAAGACACCTTTTTGGACACACCATTCGGCACAACCCTTTTTGTCAATTCCTTCAACAAAACTAATTCTTTAAGGGCTCCCCTAGAATGCTTCCTAAAGACCACTAGAGGCATTAATGAAATGCGTAGGGCACATATTACATAACAAACAATGCCACCACTTTAATTATAAGAACTGTTGTTGGTCATACTTGATATAAAAATCCAATGACATGATGAGAACTAAGATTAGCAATTATTACTTTTTCATAATAAATTTAGAAGCCTGTTATAATTGCAACCTAATATTTTGCTTATAATCCTATAAAATAAATAAATAAATTTTAAAAATCACATGACCGCTCTGGTTCATTTTCTATTTTTCTAGAATTTCCATGTCAATATTTTATGTCGTGTTTTTGTCAGTGTTTTTGCATAACAAAAAGGCTTAGAAAAAGCTCAAAAACTCCATGCTATATTGGATACGCAAGCCTTACTTGGATATTAGGTATGGTCCTTGTCTATCGAGATCTAGACAGTTTCAAATCTAAATCGAATTCACAAAACTAGGATCTGAACCAACTTTGGTCAGATCCTAAATCTTGTTGACCAACTGAACATGATTTAGACCCTAGCTTATATATATAGTCAGACACTACCTAAAAGCCATGCTCGAGGGCACATCTTAATATAGGCTCTAGGAAACTACCCATCCTTCCAACTACCTCAAAGAGAAAAAAAAAGCCAAAAAGCAAGTATCTATTTTGGCTTTCATGAAAAGCATAACACTATCAACACCAACCACAATGCCACTATAGATAGGCATTGTTCGTTTGAATTTTTAGGCAAGTATAAAAAAATTTTAATTTGCTCATCAATAGTGATCGCTTCCTTTGAAATAAATAAATAAAAAGACACTATATCAACAACAAAATAAATGTTTTACATAACAAGGTTCACCATATACATGAAAATAGATTTTTCCAACAAGTTAACATGATTACCGTACTAGGAAAATTAATATAATGGCAAAGTATCAAACAAAACATAGATTGTTCATTTTCAGCACAAGTGAACATTTTAGAAGTACTAGAAAAAAAAAAGAGTATGCAAAGTTTTCAAACAGTTAAACAAAATCACAAGAACATGTAACTGAAACATGTAGTGTAAGAAATGCAGTCCACAGAACATAAAATCAATTATGTAAATGAAGCCTTAGTTTTAAAAACTGTAACAAGATTTATCTTCCATACCAAAGTTAATTATGACATCACAAATGGTGTGCCATTAACGAACACAAATAGGCAACACAGTTGAGTGGGGGAAAACTAATAATGATTCGTATGGAATTCAAGCATCTAAATATTGAAAAGGATATAAGAGCTGAATTAAATATGCCAAACCTTGGGCCTGAAAACTGATAATGCTACTCTTGAAGCTTTGACTTGCTGCTGTGCCGTCTCCACAGCATTGCTTCCTCCAATGAACTTTGGATGTGAAGTGTTTATATAATCCATCTGCAATGTCCATGACATGTCATTGTGATCACTCAAAAGAAAGCACTCATATTCACAAAGAGGGAGGGCAACACAAAAATATCCCTCATATCATATTTATTGATTCAAAGAAAGCATATGATAAAGTTCTAAGAGAAGTACTCTGGAGAGTTCTAGAAAAGAAACGAGTTAAAAATGCTTATATTCAAGTTATTAAGGATATGTATGCAGGAGGTGTTACTTGTGTTCAAACACAAGGTGGTTGGATTACATTAAGGATCATCTTTAAGCCCATATCTTTTTGCTTTAGTTAGGGATGTTCTTGCTAGACATTTGCAAGAGGATGTACCCCGATGTATGTTTTTTGTCGTTGATATTCTTATTATTGATAAGATTAGAGAAGAAGTTAAAAGGAAAACTTAAATTATGGTGGTCAACCTTAGACTCTAAAGGTTCTCATTTGAATAGATCTAAAACCGAATGCATTGAATGTAATTTTAGTGGTAATAGATTTAGTGTGGGGATTGTGACTTTGGGCGATCAAGTTATTAAAAAGAGTACACATTTTAGATATCTCGGGTCTATTGTTTAAAGTGATGGTGAAATAGATATAGATATTATCGGTGAAATTCATGTTGGATGATTGAAGTAGAGAAATGCATCGAGCATGTTGTGTGATAGAAAAGCACCCCTAAAATTTTAGGTAAAATTCTATAAAATTGTTATGAGCCCTGCAATGCTTTATGGAGCATAATGTAGGTAATTAAAAGAGAAGCATAAAATTAAGTATTGCAAAAATGAGGATGCTTAAGTGGATGAGAGGCTTTACTTATAGACAATGCAAATCAAGTATATATGTGAAAAGAATAGAAAGAGTCTACTTGTATGGTTTCTCACATAAAATATGGGCTTCTCTGATTACCCGGTTATGAGAGTAGATGTATTAGATCTGACTTATGCTAAGAAAAGTAGATTTAGACCTAAAAAATTTGGTTAGAAAGTATTAGAAATGACATTTTGTTATTAAATTTAAATAAAATTTGACTCTTAATAGGGCACAATAAAGTAAAGAGATTCGTGTAACCGACCCCACGTAGTGGGATAAAGGCTTGTTATTGTTCTTGTTGTAGTATTTGCCAAATCTCATGAAACTATTTAGCAATCGCTAATTTTTAAAAACACATACAAATACCAATGTCATCATTTAGCTGGCATTTAGATCCTTTTTTTTCATTCCCAAACAATCACTTCAAGCACTTCTATTGTTCAACAGGGCACATTAATTACAAATATAATATTTGCATACCTCCATTTCAATCAGGTGAGTTATCATCGTCTCTGCAGGCTGGAGGGCTTCACGTAAGAAATTCCGAATTACATCATCCATGCATTTCCTAAGAACAGGGTACCGATGTAGCTCATTTGCTAGGCAGACATGGCTCATCTATACATCATGATGAAATATAAATTTTTTTAAATTTACCAAGTACAACTTATGATGAGTAAAAGCTCAAAATAACCCACAAATTATTGATAAATGTCCAATTGAGTCCCAGAATTTTGCATTACCCCATTTTAGTCCATTGACTATTAAAAATTTAGCCTAGTCTCAAAGCTTAAAATAAGAGTTAAAGTTAACTCCAAATTTAAATATCAAGGGTATTATAACTCCAAATTTAAATATCAAGGATATTTTAGGCATCACAAGTGAATATGAGATTACATTGCTTACATTACTCTATTTTATCATTTAATAAATTAGAATTAATCTAATACATAATAAGGGTTAATAAATAGTGAATAATTTTATATTTTTTTAAAGCAAAATCCAACTTTGCTCTTCTTTACCATATGGTAAAGAAGAGCAATGTTAGATTTTGCTTTAAAAATATATAAATGTTTCAATATTTATTAACCATTGTTATGTACTAAATTAACAATATACTATAATTCATTAAATGATAAAATAAAGCAATATAAGCAAAGTACTCTTATAGTCACTTAAAATACCTTAAATATCCTACAAAATAAAAGATAATTTTAACCGTTATTTCAAACTCGGGGACTAAATTGGCTCAATTTCTAATAATCGAGAGACTAAACTGAGGCAGTGCAAAACTCTGGAACAAAAATTGGACATTTATTAAATGTTGAGGGACTATTTTGAACTTTTACTCACTTATGACATAGTGCAAGTTCCGAGAGAGGATAAATGGTCAACACCTTTATCAATTCATTATAGATAAATTTAGCACACTGAAGGCTTGGATCTAGCAAACGACCAATCTGCCTTCTCACAAGAACTTCAAATGGCACCTACCATTAGTTTACACAACATCAAAAAAATTCTGACCGTTAGAAGAATGACAGAATGGAACAGAAGAAAAACTCCCTTTTAAAAAAAAAACATATTACATCAGGTAAGAACAAAGAACGTTTAGCACCAGTAGCATTCTGAATAGCCATCTGAATGTCATCATCAGTTACGTCAGCACATGGATCAACTTCCTGCAAGAATGGACGCAATATCCATTTACCAACCAAAACACTACTAACAAAGGCAAAATAAATAAATTGAAATAGGGACAACTGTTACCCTTTAAGGAACATTTAGAAAAAAAAATTGATCAATATCTTTAAAAAACTCAAAATTTAAAGAGATTCAAAACTAAATGACAGCAAAATAGTATTAGAAAACAAAGATGGCTCCTGAAGTGAACCTCCAAACTTCTCACAAATATTGACTGGAAGATATAATATATTCGGGCCCCACCAGAAAGCTCAGATGTTGATAATTCAGCATTTTTTCCATCAATCATAGAAGTAAAAGCTGGAAAAAAAAATCAAAGATGAAGGAAGATAGAGAGAAAAGGAGAGAATAAACAACAAATCATAAAAGATTTTTACAACAATATCCTGGTCAGATTTCCATCAATTAGTCGTGATATAAAACATTATAGGCTCTAGAGTGTCCAATGCAAACCTAGTATGCAAAACAAAGTTATATACAATCAATTTATACAAGAAGCAAATTTTGTGTGGAATCACAAACTGTATTCTTCTAATGATAAAAGCATGAAATAAATTAAACAAAATTCTATATATCAGAGTTTAGACTCCATAAGGAAATAAGCACTACGCACTAAAACAACAACATCATCAAGCCTTTATCCCACTACATGAAGTTCGATTCATACAGAAATCAGCACTGAGAAATTTTTAAAATAATGAAAGCCACACCAGCGATTTGAAATCTCGTGTGCAACAGAGAAACCATATTCTAAAAGATATGAAAGAAATCAATTGCATTTTAAACAAATCAGAGGAGAGAGAGAGAGAGAGAGAGATTAGAAGAGGGAAAAAATTAATTGGCAGGCAAGCCTAATGCTTGAGCATGAAGATCACCTCTCCCAACTTCCTTCAAGTCTCACACTTAACAAGAAGCAGAACACCTCTCTCATAATGCTTCAATTCTCAGGCTTGAAAAGGATTAGAATCCCCGCAAAATAAGAACATATGAACTGAATTTTACATCAAAATTTTAAATACAAGTCTCATGTACCTCCATATAGGAAAGAAACAGCCCATAGGAATTAGTAGGGTCACCAAAATAGAATCACCATGTTGACTTCAACATATGTCCCACAATCGATTCAATCAAGTGCAACGATGGAAAGGCCAACGCGGCAACACGCAAAGCCAATTGAAAATATATTGCCCACATTGCAAGAATAATCAGCCACTATCTGTTCAAAAAATGAGTGTCACCAATACACGGAATGTTGAAATTACCAAAGATAGACACTCACATTATTCAATCTATCACACAATAACAAAAAAAATAACAAGCCTTTATCCTGCTACTTGGGGTCAGCTACATAAATCATTTTTCATCATTGTGTTCTATTAAGATCAAATTCTCATTTAAATTTAATTAAAAAGGACATTTTTAATGCTTTCTAATCAAGTCGTTTTAGGTCTACGTCTAACCTTCTTAACATGGACAAAATCTAATATATTTAATCTCCCAACAAGGTAATTGGAAGGCCACGTTTATGTGACTAACCATCTATGGAGACTTTCTCTAATCTTATATGCCACTAAACCTACTCCGACCTTTCACGTATATACTAGTTTCGCATTCTATCTCTAACAAGAACTTTGTTAATGACTTGATCACCTTATGTCACCATACCAAAAGTAGATCTATTACTAGTTTACTACTAAAATTACACTCCATGCATTCAGTTTTAGATCTACTCAGACGAAAACCTTTAGACTCTAGGTTTACCTCCATAATTCAAGTTTTTCATGAACTCCCTCTCTGGTCTTATCAACAAGAAAAATATCATCAGCAAAAAGCATACACCAAGGTAAATCCTCTTGCAAATGTCTAGTAATAACATCCATGACTAAAGCAAAAAGTTCTGGGCTTAAAGCTAATCATTGATGTAATCCAACTAAATAGGAAAATACTTGGTCAAATCACCTTGTGCTTGAACACAATAGCTCTTGCATGCAAATCCTTAATAACTTGAACATAGGCATTATTAACTCATTTCTTTTCTAGAACTCACAAGAGCACACTCTCAAAATATTCTCATGTGTTTTTCCTAAATCAATAAATATCATATGAAGATCATCCTTATATTCTCTATACTTCACCATCAAATCTCTCAACAAATATATAGCTTCCATAGTAGACTTACTTTGCATAAATCCAAACTGATTGTGAGAAATATTAGAATCACATCATAACAAATGCTCAATTACTCTCTCCCATAACTTTAATATGTTACACATTAATTTAATTCCTCTATAATTCGCACACTCTTGAGCATCTATTTTACTCTAAAATGTAGGAACCAACACACTCCTTTATTCATCTGACATCTTTTCAATCTTCAAAAGAAAATTACAAAATTTAGAAAGACAAGAAATTCCTTGATCTCTTAAGCATTTCCACACTTCTACTAGAATATTATCAAGTCCTACTTCTTTTGTAATATTTTTTTCTTTAAAACTTCTCCAACTTCAAGTTTATTAATATAATGATAAAAACAAAAATTATATTTTCATTTAGAGTACTAAGGTACTAAAGTTAATCATATTCTCACAACCTTCATTGAAAAGTTTATCAAAATTCTCATCCACCTAAATAAAATATCCTCTTCTAAGAAATCACTTTTTGACCTTCATCCTTAATACACTGCACCTGAACTAAATTGTTATTTCTTTTATCTTTTGCTTAGCTAACTTATACATAAATATTTTGCCCTTCTTAATAACTAATTTATATAAATCACTAAAAAGTAAATTATTTTTGGTAAATATTGCTTTCTTAGAATTCCTACGAGCCCTTCAATATTTTCCCAATTTTATGAAACCAATTTTTATAACAAATCTTCTTAGTTTTTTTCTTTTCTTACATATTTTGAGTTCACTATCAACTATTTTTACTATTATAAGCTTCTCCTTTTTTATTCTCCAGGGGCATACTTTGCAAACATCCATAATATCATTAGCTATTTTTTTCTCACTCAACATTATGTTTCTCATGAACAACCAATGTCTTAAAATCTTGAATTTTACTCTCCAAAATATTTTAGTGGCATTTTTAAAATATTCTCATCAAATCCTAGAATAATATTTTACTTTTTTTTATTTTACACCACTGTTATCTTAAAAGTATAAAGCTAATAATGGATATTGGGTACATAAATTTTCACTCATAATAATTTTACAATCTTTGTAATCTAAATGATCTATTTTTTTATAAGACTATGTCAATTCTTAGAAATTATGCCATGCTCTTCTCTTTTTCTTAAATAAAGTATTAGCTACACAATTATAAGCTAGAATAAAATCTAATATGGTTTTACCACCTTTAATAGTAAGCCCCAAACACATAGCCCCCATGAGTGTTTTTAAAATATTTTATCCCTCTACCCAAATATCCATTTAAATCTCTTCCAATAAAAATTCATTCTTCAAAAAAAATCTTTTGCATTAATTCTTCTAAGTCATTTTAAAATTTTATTTTTGAAAGCATATCCAAATCTACTTGAGAAGCAAAAGTGCATATCCAAATCTACTTGATAAGCAAAAGTACTTATAGCATTAGCAACCTTAGTATCAAAAACAATTTTTCAGGCTATAATTTTATTCTCAATTCTATTCATTTTTATAATATTATCTTTCAAATTCTTATTTATAATCACACTAACACCATTTTTAGCACAACTCCTATGTAAATACTAAAACCAAAAATCTTAAACTATCAATCTTACTAGCCTTTCTCCTCATTAATTTAGCTTTCTAAATATATAAAATATTTCCTTATGAATTATAATACCTATTAATTCTATTAATTTGTATATAAGAGTGCGACATTTCTAGCTCATTTTCTAAATCTAGTTTCATGAACTTGTTTTTATTGCCACATTCATCCATAATATGAGAACATTGCTTATTTAACTCTACACTCGAGCACCGGTGGATCGACCCTTGCACACTTTTTTTGTATTTAGGCTATATAGCGTGCTGCTTCCAAGGAACGCCCTAGCATTAACATAATCTATTAAAGAATTCATGTCATGCTTGTTCGATAAGTTTTAACATTGTCGCTGCCGGGTCCTAGGCTCTATATGAGAAAAATGGAGAGTTTGGTTAGGTAGTCAACAATCAAGATAAGAAAAGTAATAAAAAAAACTGGTGCAAGATAGACAAATTTTGAAATATGCGAGAATTTAATTTTGCAAGAGAAAAATATAACAGTTTTGGGGAGAACAATCCCTCTTCTTGTACGAATCATATGATTGCAATATCATTGGAAGGCTAACACAATCACCTATAACTTTTGTAGTTTCCAGTTTGACCAACTCTAAACCAGGAAATTGCAATTTTTGCATTAATTCAGGGACATAAAATCTAAATAAAAAAAACTGTAGACATTTTCTTACCGTTTGGAGCATAACTCTCCCATTTCTTGTCAAAATCATGCAACCTTGGTATTCTTGGAAAGCTAACACAATCATCTACAACTTTCGTATTTTCACTTTGGCCAATTCCAACCCAGAAAGCCGCATTTTTTAAATAAAGTTAGAGACAAATTTTCCAAAAAAAAATTGGATACACACCATACATATATATATATATCACGGCACCAATCTCAAATCTTCTAGTCCATTCATACAACCCTCCTCCTCATCTATACTCATCTTTCTTATACCATTTCCAAGACTTTCCTTTCCCTCTACCTGCCCATGACCCACTTCCCCTGCTTTTCAAAAACACCTGCCTAGTTCCTCCATATTCCTTCACGCAACCATGGCCGTCAAACTCCCAACAACACAAATCCCATGCACCAATTCCCTTACCTGCACATAAGCCTGCGCAGAGAAAATTTTCAGTTGAATTGGGCATTTGAATCCTAAAGAAAAAGGAATCAATCATCAGGCCTCTGCACATCAAGATGAGCTTAATATGCTACAAGACGACCATGAGAATATGCTTAAAATGTTGTGACTTACAGAAAAGAAAAACGAGGAAGCATCAAGCTACAAGACAAAAACGAGAATATGCTTAAAAGCTAGGACTTGCAGGAAAAAAAAAAAACATGAAGAAGTAGAGGCACTAGCCGGGGAACTTGAGAAATATGTTGCTAATCTTGGAGGAAGGGGTATCCTTGGAAGCCTGACTCCTCAAAAAGGAGGAAGTTCTTAGCGAAGGATAGGATTATCTTAAAGATACCAATCAAACGAAAGATCGGAGAAATAGAGACGTAGAAGCTCATTGGCAAATAGTGCTCTATGTCAAAGATGAGGCGGT